CCCCCCCCCCCCCCCAAAAAAACCCCCACACCAGAGAGAGAGAGAGAGAGAGCCAGAATCCATGTCCTGTCAACAGTAACAATATTTTTGACTTATCAAACAATCAATATTAATGGATGAAGGATTAAAAGATCGACTCAAACTACCATCATTACATACAAACATGAAAAACAAAAAGAAATGCATTCTTTTCTGTAGGGACTAGCCTGACTAGCTTCATTATGCTTTATGAGGGTATAGGACTTAATTTTACATACAAAGAAACAGAAACTGTAAAAGAAGAAATAAATGAATACAACAGATTGACCATTTGAAGACATCAGACATCAATGATGCACAAAATAAAACTACAGACGTATCATTGTTTCCAAATATACCAATGCGAATCTCCAGGGAGCTCAGAGACTGGAAACTTCGGCTTTCTGAGGTTCCATATATGTGTGTCCCAGACTCATCTTCAGGGTTAACCTGAGGAATGTCAACCAGGACATGTAACATCATCTTGTAAAGAGAGGGATAGGAAAGGATTTAAGATCTAAAAGTAAATCTTTATGTAGCAAATTTACAGAAACTTTAAGAATCATCAAGCGGGAGAGGATAAGCAAATATTAAGTTTCAATTCCTTTTATGGATGGGAATTTGGATGAGTACGAAAGTAGGTTCCCTCATTGTTGTCATTGTTCGGATGATTATAATAGTAATTAAAGACAAGAATTGCCAAAACACAATACAAAGATGGCCCTTAGCAGGTTGATCAAGATTCAAGCAGCAAACAATTTCACATTTTCAACCTAGGGCCACGTTCTACTCCTAGTGGCTAATTACCCTTTTTTAGTTTGTTTGTTCAACACGAAAAGTTACTTTTATACCAACATAATTTGTATACTACATTTTTAACCATTCTTCAAGCATCTTTGTTATTTTATATTTAGGTCTGTTCTTGAAGAAGTTGGATAATTTAGGAGATGCTCCCTCTGTCCCATAAAAATAAACTTGCTTTTCTTTTTTGTTTGTCACAAATTACAGGCTACTTTCCTTGAAAGTATAGTTGATTTCTTAGTTTTTTAATATACCCATATTTTATGTCTCTTGCTACCAACAAATATGAACTACTTCTATTTAAATCAATTCTTAATTTGTGAAAAAATGTAAGTAAAATTTAGAGAAAATTGCAGTTGCAGTCCCAAACCAATTTATTTTTTACGGACTTTATTTCAAACTTCACGTTGTGCCACTCACGGTTCCAAATCTTTGAAATATTCTCATTGTAAGGACAAAATGACAAAAATCGTTACTCAATCCGTCGGTTGATTAAAGGTCAACGGTTTGAACCAATTTTCACTAATTTTTAAAGGGCAGAAGGGTAACTTTAGATTTCTCATGTTATAGAATTAAAATATTAAATAAGAACCAAAAAGAAAAAAAAAAATTGGAAAATTATTATTCTTCTTCCTACCCCCACACACACCCTTCGGAAACCAAACCAAAGTCCACCCAACCCACGCGTTCCGATGACCTCTACACAACAACCCAAACCACCGCACCACACCGCCACCAACGCCACTACAAACAATCCATATCGGTAGCCTACCCACCCACCAATCAAATGAAATCCTAAAACCACCTACAACCGCCACTGCAAACTCCACCATTTTTTGGGACCTTGATTTCAGCCCCAATTTCATGGCACCAATGATTCTTGTACCTTCCAAATCCCCACCCGTCCTTAAAGCCATCCATTTCCATTTTCGTCCTTAAAGCTGTCCATTCTTGAATTCTAACTGCAACAAACATTTCATTGAACACTTATCTCTTTAACATCCCATCCTTCAACAGCATCCACCCGGAGCTTAGGATGTCGATTTTACAAGTATAGGTGGAAATATTCCGACTAGACTTGTAGTTTATGCCCGAGTTTTACCCGAAATGAGAAGAATAAATGGTGGAGTTGTGCGTTGGGTGGATTCATGAGATGATTTGGCTGTGCTGGGTGATGATCGTCGGTGCGATGGGGTGTGGATGGCGGTCGTCAACATCGGAGGGCCTGGATCTGCAATAATGGCCACGCAGGTGGTTTTGGTTTCTGTGAGCGTAGGGTGGAAAGAAGAAAAATTATTTTCCTAATTATTTTCTTTTTTATTTTTGGTTTTTTTATTTAATGTATTTTAATTCTTTAATATGA